CCCCCCAATGTCCCAAAACATTCCCCAATGTCCCCGAACACCCTCCAGTGTCCCCAATGTCCCCAAACACCCCCCCAATGTCCCAAAACATTCCCCAATGTCCCGAAACACTCTCCAGTGTCCCCAAACACATCCCAGTGTCCCCAAATGTCCCTTTATTGTCCCCAGGCAGTCGTTGAGCACTGGCTGTGGCTCCGTCGGGGTCTGTGATGTCTCCAATGTCCCTTTGATGTCCCCAATGTCCCTTTATTGTCCCCAGGCTGTTGTTGAGCGCTGGCTGTGGCTCCGTCGGGGTCTGTGATGTCCCTAAATGTCCCTTTGATGTCCCCAAATGTCCCTTTGGTGTCCCCAGGCCGTGGTGGAACGTTGGCTGTGGCTCCGTCGGGGTCTGCGCCGTCAGGATCTGAGCCGGGAGCAGTTCCTGGAGGAGGTTTGGGACTGGAAGCGCCGGTGAGGGGACACCTGGGGACACTGGGGGGACTTTGGGGACACTTGGGGGACACTGGGGATGTTGGGGACACCTAAGACACATTGGGGGAGATTTGGGGTCATTGTGGACACTGGGGGACACTTTGGGGACATTGGGGACATTTTGGGGATACTGGGGACATTTGGGGGGATTTGGGGACACTTTGGGGACATTGGGGACTTTGGGGGCACCAAAGAGACATTGGGGGAGATTTGGGGACATTGGGGACACTTTGGGGACACTGGGGATGTTGGGGACACTTTGGGGACACTTTGGGGACACTTTGGGGATATTGGGGACACTTTAGGGACACTTTGGGGACATTGGGGACACCAAAGAGACATTGGGGGAGATTTGGGGACGTGGAGGGGGTGACACGAAGGGACACTTTGGGGGGACACAAGGGGGATGTGGGGGCACAATTTTGGGACGTGGGAGGGGGATGTGGGGTGACAGGGTGACAGTGGGGTGACAGGGGGGTGACAGGGGGGCGACAGGGTGACCCAGGGGGGTGACAGGGCTGTCCCTTGTCCCCCCCCAGCCATGGGGACGAGATCCTGGAGCAGCTCCGGGCCCTCGGGGCCTCCCTGGACTGGACCCGCTGTGCCTTCACCATGGACCCCGTGAGTGACACCCCAAATGTCCCCAAATGTCCCCAAGTGTCCCTAAAACATCCCCGTGTCCCCCCAGGGCTTTTCCCGGGCCGTGTCCGAGGCCTTTGTCCGACTGTTCCACTCGGGGCTCATCCACAGGGAGCGGAGACTCGTCAGCTGGAGCTGCACCCTCAGATCTGCCCTGGCTGATATTGAGGTCAGAAATGTCCCCAAATGTCCCCAAACTGTCCCCAGCTGCGCTCTCAGATCTGCCCTGGCTGATATTGAGGTCAGAAATGTCCCCAAACTGACCCAAAATATCCCTAAATGTCCCCAAACTGAGACTCGTCAGCTGGAGCTGCGCCCTCAGATCAGCCCTGGCTGATATTGAGGTCAGAAATGTCCCCAAAATGTTCCTAAACTGTCCCCAAACTGCCCTCAAATATCCCCAAACTGAGACTCGTCAGCTGGAGCTGCATCCTCAGATCTGCCCTCGCTGATATTGAGGGCAAAAATGTCCCCAAAATGTCCTCAAATATCCCCAAACTGAGACTCATCAGCTGGAGCTGCACCCTGAGATCTGCTCTGGTTGATATTGAGGTCACCAAACTGTCCTTAATGTCCCCAAAATGTCCCCAAACTGTCCCCAAACTGAGACTCGTCAGCTGGAGGTGCACCCTCAGATCCGCCTTGGCTGATATCGAGGTCAAAAATGTCCCCAAAGTGTCCCCAAACTGTCCCCAAACATCCCCAAATGTCCCCAACTCTTCCCAAACCGTCCCCAAACCATCCCCAAATGTCCCCAAGTGTCCCTAAAATGTCCCCAAACCAACCCCAAATGTCCTCAAATATCCCCAAACCGTCCCTAAACCATCCTCAGCTCTCCCTAAACCGTCCCCAAACATCCTCAAACTGCCCCCAAGTGCCCCAAACATCCCCAAATGTCCCCAAACCATCCCCAAATGTCCCCAAACCATCCCCAAATGTCCCCAAACCATCCCCAAA